AAGCGGCTTGTTTTTTCAAGTTTTGACTTAACGGGGCTTTTTGTCTCTTTCTTTCATCATTTCTTTTTTTGAACCAGTCGTGTGACTTCGAGTCGTTTTCGACTTTGTTAAAGGTAATTGTGACTGCCTGAATCTTTGGTAGACGAGGGATAACTATTGTTGTATCGTCATCTTTCGACCTCTTAATGTGCGAGAGATAACCATTGTGGTATCATTCTCTTTGATGCACACTGCTGATATATGAGAGTTAACCATTGCGGCTTTTACTTTCCTTAGCCTTTTGATGGATAACCATTATTGTATCCTTAGGTGTGCACTCCTGATGAGTTATGACCGCTCGATCGGATCAACTGAAATCTACCCTACCCCAGGTTAAATGTGAGGGTTTTTCTGAAAAGAAAAGAAACTCCTACTTGAAGGCTCAAAGGGGTTGACGAGGGTCTATCTCCCTTATATCTCCGATGTTTAGGAATTAAAACAAGGCCTGTACATCGTCAGTCGGGTTTTATTCAAAAGCAAACCGTTTGAACTTTTTGGCATATTACTCATCATTCCCCCTCCAGAGGTTCTTTTGCTTTATTTAACAAGAGTTAAGTATCAAAAAGAAAAACATTAATGAGTGAACATGAATGGATTAATTCAAGACAAACATATTTGATGCATTATGATTAATGTTGAAGAATCAACAAGTTTTGCATACAAGAAAGTATTGAACCAAAGCAAGAAAGATTACAAATGAGAATTGAAAATGAAACTAGAAATTGCTACGTTGAGGAGACTAGTCTCCGTATGGACTTGTTGCTTCAGATGATGATCTAGAAATCTTGACATTTACTGAGTCAAAGGAGACTTCAAATTCAACTGACTCGCCCGAAATTGATAGCCTTTGCATCAACTAGGTCTTGCACATTTTCTTTGAAAGCCAAGGAGTCTTCAATGGAATGACCTAGTGCCCCAGCGTGGTAGTCGCATCGCACATTAGGATTGAAATCCATAGAATAAGGAGGAATGGCAGGCTTCAGTGGCTTGGGTTCCACCAAGGAAAGCTTGAGCAACTGAGAGAACAGCTGGCCATAAGTCATGGGAACAATATCAAACACCCTCTTTGGCTTCCTATCCTTTTGATTACCTTGTTGCGTATGTATTTGTTGATAAGTTTGCTGCTGAGTAGCACACTGAGCCAGGTGAACACAAGGAACATTCTGGTTTTGATTAACCAACCGATTTCCACAACTTACAAACGACTGCTAGTGAGAACTTTCTAGGATTATAGGTTGTGGATGACGTGACTCCGATCGTGAGATAGAACTTTGAAGAGGAGAAGGCGTAACCCTATTCTTTGTAGAAGTTAGCATAAGATTGATTTGCACACTCAGACCTTCGGGAGTGAAGAGAATTGTCCCTGCATCAAGCAAGTCCTGGACTTGGTGCTTAAAAGCTACACAATCTTCAGTATCATGACCAGGTGCCCCAGAATGAAATTCACACCTAGCATTGTCGTCAAAGCCATGAGGGCGCTTTTCATGTGTAGTGAAGATTCGAAGTTTTAACCAAATGAAATTCTAGCAGGGGAGGAAGCAATTGTGCATACGCCATTGGAATAGGATCAAATTTTCGTTCAGGTTGTTTTGGCCTCTGCTGACGGACTTTTCCTTTTGGGTCCTCTCGGGAAGTGACAACTTGTTGCGGATGGGAGGATCTTGGAATGCACAGTTGTGGAGGAGATGCTCCTTGACCTAAAAGAGTCCCCAGATTATGGGAAGGAATAGTAGCTCCTATTGTAGCAGGCATAGAAACATCTTCTTTCTTCAACATTGTCCCCAAAATTTCCATAACCAAATTCAATTGAGTCTTCAACTGAGTGTTTTCTTCTATCAAGAGTTCTTGTCCATGGACCAAATCCTGCGTGTCTAGCATAAAAAATCCCATATGTTCTTTCATCTCGTCCAATTCCCCACGAAGTTGTTCCATATCTTAAGTCTGATCACGGAGCGACGAGAAGTCAAGATTTGCAGCTCTGAAAAGAAAATACCGAGTCTGAATAAGGATTCCCCATTCTGAGTACCTTCTGAGTACCTGCTATGGATGCATGAAGATGCATGAAGATGCGTGAGGTGAATGAGCGGATACAATGATATGTTCAAACCTTTTTTTTTGCGTATAATCTTTCACATTTCCTTTTTTTGTGTAAAATAAACATGCTATGATGCAAGGTGCGATGACAAGTTCAAAAGTTCAGCATAACAATTGTACAATCCTCTGGATAACTGCTGTATAAATCTGCTGAATAATATGGATATCACAGGATCAAAGGTTCAGAACCAATTTCAGCATACAATGGAACCAAGTACCATGAATAACTGTTGTATAATCTCTAGCCAAGTGGAATATATCAGGATCAAAGGTCCGGAACATAACCAGATAACCATCCTGAATACCGAATCCAGAAACTCGGAAAATAAATCTGAGACCCACATAGTCACCAACAGAACAACAATCACTATCAGAACATAGTCATCATCTGTACCTGTAATAATCAAGTCCCTCCCCTCTCACGGGTGAAAACTAGGTCAGGGTAAGGTCGGGTAACCCAAAATCGACGGTACTTCTGAAAAACTATCGCCATATCACCTACGTGAAAATGATAGCCCCTCATTTGTACCTCATCCGAGCGCGGACAACATGACGGAAATAGTGAGACCTAAGTAAACTAGACATTCATGTTCCACTCTATTCCTAGTATCCTAGTTCACTCTGGCCTGGGTATTGGGCCTTTTACCTCATAGTAACACCCACCCAATCATGAAAACAGAGCCAACATAGCAGTATCACCAATATCGAAAGTAATAAAATGCAATGCAAACACATGCACAAATAAACATGTACAAAATGAAAAAGCTATAAAGCATAAAACTAAACACCCAAGGAAAAGAAAACAAGAGCTAGGATCGACTTCGGGATGGACCAACAATAGGTCAATCTATCCCCAGTGAAGTCGTCAGCTGAAACAACCGGCTGAACAATCAACTGATAATTAAATCAATGAAGCCGCCATCGAGCGTTTTTTATCCCACATGAAGGGAAAGGTAAACATCGAGTAAATCTGAGAAGGGAGAAGTCATAATCAAACGACCGAGAGATCGGGTAAGGGAGTCTGTTACGCGAGGGGAAGGTATTAGCACCCCACACGCCCGTAGTACTCTATGGTATCCACTCCTGTTATCTATCTTATGGGTGTGTTTAATCTATATCTAACCTGTACAGGAAATGCATGCAAAACAAAAGAGAAAAGAATGTAGGGAAAATGAAAAGTTGTGCTCGCTCGGGCCCTACCCCAATGCCTACGTATCCCTTTTAAGGAATCAGAGCAGCCGTAGTTCGGCTAACAAGTTTTTGTTGGTTTGTATTTTTTAATGAACAATATTAATCTCGCCTTCTGCCGCAACTCGACCTTTGGAGACTTATGCGTTAGCACAGAAGTAAATTAACATGTTCTTTCTGAAAAGTTTGAAAGAAAAGCCCGAAGGCGCAAGAGAGTTTGCATTGGTTTATATTTTTTACCTTGAAGAAGGATTTGGAAGTTGTTAGATGTTTTAATATTTTTCAAAGAAAAAGGGGAGGTTTTTTGTTTTAATGCATGGATGCAAAAGAAAGAAAAATCATCTAAAGGAGACTAACCTAGATCTATCCTAATGTTATCATACAATGATGGTCCTATGGTTGAATTTTGAAGGGAAATCTCTACCCTATGTTGACATGCTTGGATAACAACCCTGATGTCTATCTCGAATCATCATCTATAGTTGAATCGAGAGGTCCTAAAGGAGCATAGCAAGGGATGTATCATCTTAAAACATGTATGCAAAGATGAAATCAAACAGGTAAGCGAATAAGCTTAAGAGAGCTAGCTCAAGCGAGCGCAACTAGAGAGAATCTATCTAGGCTACCATTACCTAAGAAAGTCTAACAAAACTATCCTATAGGGAACATATAATGAGAGAGAAGTCGTGATCTCAATTTCTAAATTGAGTGACTCATTGATCAACAAGAAATAAAGGAAAGCAATGAAATCCTATAGGGAGCATATACTGAGAGTGAAGTCGTGATCTTAATTCCTAAATTGAGTGACTCATCGATCAACAAGAACGTAAACAAACACAAGCACAACACATATAGCAAATGAAGTGAGAAATGCCTGCTACAGGTCTTTAAACAGCGACTTCGAGCGCACGCTCTTTATTTCCTACTTCTCATGATATCTAGAAAGCAGTAAAGTGCTGAAATATGATAAACAAGAGGAAATACCAGACGGATATCAATCCGTAGCAAAGCCTATCGAAACAAAGAAACCCGACGATCTTCGCGAAAAGCTTCACCAATCAAAGAAAAGAATCAGAAATCAAATGCTCGGAGTAAATGTCGATGCATCATCGATGTGAAAATAAATCACAATCGAAATCTCAAGCGCATTTGCATATCGCATAATAAACCTGCATAGGATTCCAGATCTCAACAAGCCAAGATGAATTACCAATCTCAAATATAACCAGCTAATCGGAATTTTATTTCCCCAAAACTAAAAAAAACTACAAGTTTTTTTATTGATTTTATTATTTCTTTTGTCATGAGAAAATAGGATAAATCCAAACAATGAACAATTTTATCCACCAAAATTTGCAAACTAAAAAGCCAGGAGTGCAAATTAGATACCATGCTACTGAATAGCAATCCCAATTCTGGTTCTAGCCCAGCCCATGAGATATTTTCATAATAGTTCTTCCAAGATGCAAACAACAAAAACAAACAAAAAAACCAATAGGCCTAAATGGGCATGATCTGGCCCATTACCTTGTGCGGTAGAAACAATCCACCCAGTTTTGTCTACAACAGCATGAAAGAATGGAAAAGAGTAAAGAACGTTTCCGTTTTGCATTCAACCCTAAACAATGCTACTCCCTGTTCCTCAAGCATCTCACAGCGGCGCCCAACCTCATTCAGCTTCAGCGATCTCCGTCTCTGATCAGTTGATCAACAAATTTCAAACCCCGACGCTTCAGTCCGTCTCGCAATAGCAGCGCCGCGAGCAGCCTTGTTCCGCCTTCTCCGATCAACTCAGCTCTGTCCCCACCCGTCTTGATTCCGCTCTTCTCAACAAACTCGTCTCTTCTCTGTTTTCGCGAATTTATGCTTTGACCCTTCGCCTTAATTGCGTCTTTAACCTTCACAAGTCCGCGCTCCACCATAAATTTGCCGTCATCATCGTCTTCTGTTCTTGATTCGCCCGTCTCCGCCGCATATACATACTCGCTACAAATCTACCAGAAAATTGCCATGGCAAGATCTAAGAGAGTTATGGAGAAATAGGTTCGTACCAGATTCGCTTCCAATTCTTTTTCCTATTTTTCGACTTCGTCTATATTCCTCTCTTATTCTTCCTTGACAACACGTTGCCGCTCAGCATTCTTCTCCGTTCGTCTCATGCCTTCTCTCTGCTGAGTTCGTGAAATCAAGACCGTATCAACCTAACCTCTTCGATCTACTCTAGTTGTGTCTTAAGGACTGGGTAAACAACGAGAACGTTGAAGAACGATGATCACGAGAGTTCACCTGTTAGAGAACACCGGGTGCGTCTTTAGTGGTGGCGAAGAGAAATAGAGAAACCAGAGATGTTATTTCCAAGTGCGATTAGTTTTTGTATTTTCTTCTTCAACTATGTTATGAATCTGTGTTGTGTTGATTCCACTATGAATTGATGAAGCACTTTCGTTGTTTGTGCAGAGTAATGAAGTAATTGCGATGATGATTTAAAGAGAAGCATTGATGAAGATCAGAGGAATCGAGAGAGTGATGATGTTGTTGAACGATGAAGATTATGTAGCATCTTGAAGAAGATGAAGAACCGGTGAAGTTCTTGATTCACAGATGAAGATGATGATGAAGGTTTGTACAGAGAAAGAGAGAATTCGTAGAAGGATCCAGATGAAGATTGAAAAAGAGAAGTGAGAGCATTTCCAGGTATTTTTGGTGGTGATTCTTCTACAGTTTTTTGAATGAATGTATCCTGTTCATCCCCTCTCCCTGAATCTATTATCATTTTCTATTATAGATATCCAAAAGTTTGTTACAGATTGCAGGCCCTGGATAGAAAGTTGGTTAGAACTGTTAGAGATTGGTTAGGAATCAGTTTTTGTTTTCTGTTATGACAGTTGGCAGTTCTGTTATGCTGTGAGTCAGTTTCTATTGAGAAGTTAGTTAGTAAGCCATTTAGACAGTTGGTTACGGTTATAGGAAGTTAGAAATCCTGTTGGCAGTTTGTTGGGAATTGATAATAACTGTTTCTTTTTGTTGTGTAAATGTTTAGGATTGCTTTGGATTGAAACAACAGGCATAGATCATGGCAAGTTACAATACGCTGGTTTGGTCATGAAGAAGATAATGAAGATGGAAGCAAACTAAGGTTGCATTTCAAACACGACAAGGCCACACAGAAAGCGATAATGAGAATCAATATATGCATCTTTAAGTGTATTTCTCATTTTTGTAGTATGTTTTTTGGATATTGTAAATGGTGTTGGATATTTGTAATGTATTTTGGAACTTGAATAAATGGGAACCTTAATGAATTGTAACTTGAAAATTGGATGGTGTAATTCATTTGTAACCTTGAACTTTCAAATTGATTTTGAACTTCCAAATTCCTTTCCCTTCAATATTCCCTTTAGACGCCTTTGTATGAATTTAAATAATCATGGCACGAATCCAAAATTTTTGCGAGGTAATCACGAAGAGACTTGAATCTTTAATGAGTTCTTGAATGACTGTTTGGATGACACTTTGATTGTTAGATGAAACAAATGAGTTTGATACATGCCTTTTTATTCTAAGAAATCCCACACAAATATTTAAGAACTTATTCACCCCAAATCCTCTTCACATCTTAATGAACGAGTTCTAATCAAATTACAACTTCAATGAATCAATCTTGAACTCAAGATATGACACAACATTCAATCGTATCAATAATATTCCTACATGAACTCAGTCAAGAAAACAACCTCTCCATGTCGACTTTGCCCAAAATCAAAGCCTTTATTCATATTCGCCTGACTCAATTAATGCTCCCTAGCATCATATTTTGTATTGTGCTTCAAATTTTGGAATTCAAGTCACAAACATGTCCACTTGAAAATGTAAGGCTAAAATCCTTAATAAATTCCTTTGAAGATGATAATTCCTGACGCAGAATATAAAGCTTTCTGAGAAAGTCCCTTGATAAGAACAAACCTTAATCTCATGATCTTTGACGAAAAACCCGATTGGAACGCAATTGCAAAAAAAAAACCTGGCTTTGATCACATATGGGGAAATAAACCCTGATAGCCTCGCGGCTTGATGAAGAAAGAAACCCTCAACGACCAAAGTTACAACCCTAATTCCACTGCTCACTACCTGAATAAGAAATCAATCTTTATTGGATACGAACGCCTTAACCATTGCGAAACCCTAATATCGCACAACCACTGAACTTTGAACCTCAGAGCTATATTGAATGAAATATATTCCATGTTAGTGACCTAATGAAATAGATGCAGATGAATGCAAAAGTCTAAGCCAAAATAAAAGAAATTAGGAGGGTAAATTTTGGGGTGCAACAACACCGCTGATAGAAATTTGTGGGTTCATTTCTTTCAAGATAGTCTGTCAGGGGCTCAACTTGAATGGTTCTACCAACTGGAGAGTGCCAATGTCCGAAATTGGGAAGATCTGGCTGCTGCTTTCTATAAGCAGTATCAATACAACACCGACCTTGCTCCTACTCGTACTCAACTCCAGAGTATGTCCATGGGTGCAAGTGAAGGCTTTATAGACTATGGACATAAGTGGAGAGACTTGGCTGGAAGAGTCCAACCCCCATTGTCTGAAAGGGAGTTGGTTGATATGTTTCTGGGGATGCTATCTGGTCCATTCTTTAATCATTTGATCGGCAGCTCGTCAGCTGGTTTCACCGAGCTGATTCTGACTGGAGAGAGAGTAGAAGCTGGGATTCGGAGCGGAAAGATACAAAAGAATGCCTCTTCGAGTTCGGTAAAGAAGCCTTTTGCTGGTAAGAAGGAAGCTAGTGCCATCTATAGCCCGAGGGGCCAAAACAAAGCTGAACATCATCAGACAGTAAGTGCTGTAATGATACCTAGGCCTACAACTGCTCCACAATGCAACAATCAACAAAGGGTGGAAAGACCACAACGACAGTTTAGTTGAATCAATATGACATTGGCTGAAGTTCTACCTCATCTACTGAGATCCAACTTGGCAACCTTGAAAGAGGCTCCCAAGAATCCAAATACCACATCTCCCCGATATAATCCAAATGCTCGGTGTGCCTATCATTCTAAGAGTCCTGGCCACGATACCAATGACTACTGGGCTCTAAGAAATAAGGTATAAGATCTAATTGAAGCCAAGGAAATTGAGTTCGATGCTCCGGAGAAGCCCAATGTCATAACTGCTCCCATGCCTAAGCACGGTCGTAGAGTTAATGCTGTTGATACTGACTTGTTTGTGACCTTGGTGGATGAAGTTTCTACTCCTCTCATGACTGTGAAGAAGAATTTGCTGTTGGCCAGTTTATTTCTGGGTTATGGTGATGGTTGCCACATGTGTTCATTTTCTACCTTATGGTTGCCATTTGCTGAAGTCAGGTGTTTAACGCCTGATGGACAACAAAGAAATTTTGTTCGAGAAAACTTTGGTTCCTGTTGTTCCATCTGAAGACATTGCCATTATAACCATTTCCACCAATCCTTCTAAGGTCTCCTCGAGAAGACCTGTTAGGATTACATCTGATCCAAGAATCGCTCCACTAATAATCACTGTTCCTGGTCCTGTCCCGTATGTCTCGGACAAAGCTGTCCCATGGCATTATGGTGCCGATGTGTACTATCATGGCATCAAACAAGATTTGAAAAATGAAGAGGCTGATCCTGATATTGGTAACATTGTCAGAACTAGCAAGGTTACCCGAAGTGGAAGGGTCTTCTCTCCCGAGATTTCCCCTAAGACTGTCAACAGACCTATTGTCATTCCATCTGCTGTTCCTGTTGGTACATCAACTACGGCTCCTGTTCTTACTCCAATTATTACCCTTTTTGGTGAATCGTCTAATACCCGCGGCAAAGAAGTTATAGGTGAGCCTTCCCGTACGGAGACGCCTAGAAAAATTGTTGTAGAAGCCTCTAAGCAAGAGATAGAGGAAATATTGAAAATAATTAAAAAGAGCGACTACAATGTGGTCGAGCAGCTAGGGCAGACCCCATCAAAGATATCCATGTTATCCCTGCTGTTGTGCTCCGAGGCCCATGCAAAGGCTTTGATTGCATTCCTAAAAATTGTGCATATGCCGCAAGATACTTCAGCTGATCAATTTAAAGATTGCATGGCCAGTCTAGCTGCTGACAATGGGCTGGGTTTTTCAGATGCAGACTTGACACCGAAGGGGAGAAAGCATAATGATGCTCTGCATGTCTCGATTGAGTGCAGGGGCACCACTATGGCTCATGTGCTGGTAGATACTGGGTCTTCGCTGAATGTCTTGCCTAAGAAGGTGTTGGACCAGTTGGATTGCGAGGGTTTGACTTTAAAGCCTAGTAACATTATGGTAATGGATTTTGATGGGTCGAAAATAATGGTGCACGGGGAGGTGGACATCCCTGTCAAAGTGGGTTCTCAGACCTTTGGGTCCACCTTCTATGTGATGGACATTAGGCCATCGTATTCTTGGTTGTTGGGTCGTCCTTGGATCCACGAGGCTGGGGAAATTACTTCCATACTACACCAAATGCTGAAGTATCCGGTAAAAGGGAAGATTGTCATTGTGCAGGGTGAAGAGGAGTATATGGTGAGCCACCTCAATTCCTTCCGATACATAGAGATGGACGGGGAATTCATAGAAACTCCTTGTCAGAACTTCGAAGAGGTCCCTCAGATCTTGGCATCGACTGAAACTACTACCAGCAACAAACCTCCTCTGAAGATGGCTTCTCTCAAGGACGCCAGGGCCGTGGTTGAAGAAGGTGGGTGTACCAATTGGGGTCAGCTCCCCGATTTCACTCACAAAACTGATAAATTTGGTTTGGGCTTTACTACAGGGGCTCAAAGGGCTGTTCGAAGCGTTCGGGCTGGAGGACCTCCCCTACACATCAGTAATCGGGTAATTAATGCCATTGAAGACAGCAAGGAAGACTCAGACATTGACAACTGGATCTACCCAACTACTAACGATGGACCGAGTAACTGGACAGCTAGGGACTTTATACCAATTTCTTTTATTCCGTAGTAATTTTCCTACTTGTTTTGAGATTTGTAATAAACAATTTAAAACTTTATGGCCTTGTGCCTTTCCCGAGGTACATTGGCTTTGCTTGTGAGGGATATTATTTGTCATTTCATATATCATTAATAAAGCATTAGACATTTCTTGCATACAAATTTTGCGCTCTCTGTTTTTTTCTTTTCTGTTTTCACTTTATTAAAACAACTATTCTCTTACACACACTCACGTATCATACTGCATATCCATATCCACTCTGGATCCCATTGATAACAGCTCTGCTATTGCCAGTTATGACTTCGAAATCCGATCAACCAAGCCGAAGACGAAGGTGAGGTGCCTGGAGAACTTGCTAGACTATTTCAGCAGGAAGAAAGGGACATACAGCCTCATGAAGAACCGGTTGAGACAGTGAAATTGGGTACAGAGGAAGATAGAAAAGAGGTTAAGATTGGTGCAAATTTGGAAGTTAAGGTCAAACAGCGGTTAATACAAATGTTGCACGAATATGTTGAGATCTTCGCATGGTCATATGAACACATGCCAGGTTTAGACACTGATATTGTGGTTCATCGTCTGCCAACCAAAGAAGACTGTCCTCCGATTAAATAGAAGGTTCGTCATACGCGTCCTGAAATGTCAGAGAAAATGAAGGCAAAGGTCATGAAACAGTTCGACGCAGGATTCCTAGCTGTCACTTCTTATCCACAGTGGGTTGCTAACGGCGTTCCGGTACCTAAGAAGGACGGTAAGGTACAGATGTGTGT